TCACTGGATCACCGCTACTTGACCACCGTAGTCGTTACGATACATCGTCTGCCGATCCAATATCATCTTGCTAATGGCACTGCTCTAACTCTATAGTCTCATGGCCAATGACATTGCTGCTACCACAGTCACCTGATCAACGGTATTGTTGCCGCCACCACGCCTTTACCCAATCACCATCTTTGGTTGTGACTTCCTCTAGGCCACCATAGCTTGGTCGACACTGATAAACCACTTCCATTGTTGTTAGACCTTGATCACCCACCAATGGAGCAGCAATTGCTATCATCATTAGACCACTACCAGTATAGAGAAACTGTCGTCAGGGCACCATCATTGTTGGGCTACCTCTATGCCGCACTGTTATTGTTGAGCCGCTGTAATCACGAGACCACTGTTGACGGGCTGTCGCTGTGCTGGAACACTATCTTTAGGTCACCACAGTACCTGACAATCATCGACAAACTGCCATCTTTGAGCTACCGTCGCTGCCACTATCAGGTCATCATTGCAAAACCATCGACGGTAGGCCACCACCGCTTTGTCTGGCCACTATCGTCAGACTGTCGTTGCTATGCTAGACCATTAACGCTCGACTACCTCCACTACTGAGGTACATCATCACCATTGCGGGACAATTATAACTTGGTGCCTCGACTACTGAAACACCATCATCAGACTACAATCATTCTTGTATCATTATCACCACAGCCCAATCACCATTATTATTGGCGTCATTAAAACCGCCACTACTCGATCACCATCATATTATTACTATGGGCCTTGATCGCCTCCTAACCGATCCATCAGATGAGGTCGGTCAAGACCTTAGGAAACGAGCATTGATTGCCTCCAACCCGGATTGTCCGATGAGGTCGGTCAACATCTCTTTAAAGAGAAGACAGTTATCACGTTAAAAGATCACAAATCTTGATCGCCTCCAAGCTGGTCTATTCCATGAGGTTAGTCAACATCTTTTCCAAGGGAATACAACTGCCTCATCATAGGACATGAGCCTTGCGTGTTTTAACCTAGTCCGTCCAATGAGGTTGGTCAATACTTTTTCCAAGGGAAGACAGTTGCCTTGCTGTAGGACATGGGCCTTGATTGCCTCCAACTGGTATGTCTGATGAGGTCGGCCAACACCTCTTTCGAGGGATGACAATTGTCTCACTGTAGGATCACGAGCCTTAATCGCCTCCAACCCAGTTTGTCTGATAAGATTGATCAACTTCCCCTTTGAGGAAGGACAATTTCCTTGCCATAGTATCACAAGTTTTGACCTCCTTCAAGTACCGTCCAACGAAAGTAGCCAACCCTTTCAATTTGCATGGGAAGACCCTGACCTCGCCGTCTGGAATACATTTGACCTCCTCCAAGTTTGATTTGTCTAACGAAAATAGCCGATCCTTTCAATTTTGAAAGGGAATACTCTTGATTTGCCTTCTAGAATCCAAAGAAGCAACCAACCCTTTCAATTTGCAAGAGAAGACACTAGCTTTGTTGTCTAGAGTACACATGACTACTTGACCTCCTCCGAGTTCGGTCCATCTTTAAGTTTGCAAGGAAAGACCCTGACTTCACCATGTGGAATACAAACCAAAAGGAGGAGATACGTGTCACCCATAGCACCCCTAGGGGAGTATTTGTAAGCTTGGCAAGGAGGAGAAAAATGAAAAAAAATTTTATGGGAAAATTTAAATTTTTATAAATAAATATATTTTTTCCTTAAAAAATAATACAAAAGAGGAAAAAAAATCTTATTTTTATGTAACATCTTGAATTTTTAATCTCTTATATGATTTTTCTTTAAAAAATAGTGAAAAAAGGAAACAAATATAAAAAAATAGGAATAAAATTGATTTTTTTTTAAATCTCCCCACCAAGATCGTGCATGCACTCACACAAACATGCGCATCAGTGCCCCCAATCACAACATTTCGTGGGCCAGACCAAGCACATTGTTGCGCAGTCGCCTCCGCACGAGCGCGTGCTCTCACTCGTGCTAGCTCTCATGACACTACTTAACCGCCATTTGATCGATGTCACCGTCGGACTGACGCTTCTGACCACCACCGTCACCTTCGCCTTTGCCTAACCACTGCAGACTGGTTGCCGACGCCGGACTATTACTTTCGGCCACTACGTTTGCCGCCACCAGACAACTGTGTTCTAGCAGCCACTGTCGGATCACCATTGTCGAGCAACCATTGCCATCGGACCACTGTCTAGGATCTGCCTCTAGGGGTGGTTGAAAATGAGTCTAGTCGAGCTCTAGCCATGTCGATCTAGTGCTTGACTCGTCTGCCAAATAGTGAGCTCGAATGGCGAGCTCGAGTTCGGCTCATAGTGCTAGCAGCCAACACGCAAGCTCGAATTAAATATCTAATTTTTATGGGAGCTTATCAGAGAAGTTATTGGTGGCCGAAAGATGGAGGATGCAGTAGAGGAAAATGCAAGCTTGCTCGCGAGCCAACGAGTCGAGTTGAAACGTGCTCAAGCTCGTGGCTCGATAAGCTTGACTCGTGAGCTTTTTTAACAAGCCAAGCTTAGCTCGACTCAGTTCTTTTACATCCCTAACTGCTTCTACCGCCGTCATACCATCGTTGCTTAGACACCTCCATCTGGTCGCCATTGCTGCCTTAGAACTATTATCTGGCCGCCGCCGCTCTCGGACTATCGCTGCACGACCATTGTCATCTGGCAGCCACCATCTTGCCTTATCACCACCATTTGGCCATTGCCTGATCGTCGCTGCTCGACCGCTGTCTTCTTTATTGTCAGAACACTATCGTTCGGTTGCCGCCACCGTCTCTACTACTGACGCCGATGATCCGTCCAGCTCATTTTCAACACCTTTTAATCTCTTGATGGTGGATAACTTCAAATGAATATTTAGTCTACCTTTTTGAGTCACAACCCCTTGGAGAAGGTCATTTTTAACACCGAAGAAGCAGCTACATCTCACATTACCTTGAATATCATTATTTTTAAAAGCTTGAGATATATTTTCAACATCTTCGACTCTGAAAATAGGGGACAATTGATACATCCTTAAAAACTATTTTATTCATGTATGAATCTCGGAACATTTTGAAAAATAAATATTTCATATTTCAATTCAAGGTTATCCAATGCCTCGATTTTAACAAGCTTATAGTAAAATTGATCCGTCTCGACAAGACGAGCCCAATGAAGCCAAAATTGGTTCGATTTGAGTCTGATCAAGCTAAGATCAAATTGTTTAAGCACAATTGAAGGTTTTGGACGAGTAATTAAATGGTCAAATTAATTTCAAATATGACAAGCTTATAGTTAAATTGAGCGACTTGTCGAGCCGGAGATCACTCAATTCTGACATCATTATGTCACTCAATTGCTCATAAAATACCATACAATTAAAGGGATCGCTCTTGACCGTCTGATGTAGTGTTCCAGATTCATATGGTTTTTACAGAGGATCTCACTCATTAAAATTATAAATAGACCTCCACTCCTTTCATGAAAGGGGACTCGAGACCTAGACCTGAAAAAGAAAGGTGAAGAAGCTCCAAGCTCTTGAGGATTTCTGAGCTCCACCAATGTCGGACTGCCGCCGACTAGCTGCCGCTACCGCCAGACCACCCTGCGACACCCCGCGCTCATCGTGGTGGAGCCACCACCTCCGCTAGGCCACTGCTTATTGGCCACAGGTGCCTGACCACCGCCGTCCAGCCTCTACCATTGTAGGACCACAGTTCCCTCTCATCGTAAACGAGCCACAACCCCCTGTACCTCCACCAGACCACTGTTGCTTGTCCACAGCCAAACCGCCAATGCTTGGCCATCGCTATCTTGTTGTCGCCATTGCAGGATCATTGACGAGCCATCACCACCACCACTGCTGCCCGATCATCGACGAGTCATCGCCACCACCAGATCATTGTTGCTCGGCCACCATTGTCAAGCCAAAGCCACCATCGGACCACCGTTGCTCAGCAATCGTCTTCTGGTCATCTCCACCGCCACCACCTTCGTCTTGCTGTCGCCGCCACCACCTTCGTCTTGCTGTCGCCGCCACCGGATCACCGCCTCAGCCATCAAACCACCACCATATGACTGTCGCCACCGCTGCACAACTGTTGCCCATCCTCCATCGTTGTTGATGTCGTACCACTGCCATCACCATCAGACCACCACCACCAGCACCACCGCCACCACCGGACCTTTGTTGTTTGACCATCACCATCACTGCCGCTTTTATTAATGCTGGCATCGTATTTTCTAGTACTCAACCTCTAATGTCGGCTTTTCTTCACAGCAATCGCGTTACTGCCACTTCTCAAGTGAAAGTCATGTCCGCTCGTGTGATAGATCTTTCGGCCATTAAAAGGGCTAGTAAAACCTTGTAAGCTACATTGACACAATGAAATCATTTCAATTGGGGCAGACCCCATTATTTTTGCTCTTTCGGGTTTTCCACATAAAAAGTATTGCTGTATTTTTTGTCAATTTATTTTACTTGTATGTATGTCAGATCTTCTTACAACACTAAGACATTATTATATTACTCTATCAACATGACTTTACCGGGACACAACAATATTTTCTTATCAATGATTTCTTTTTCTTATCTCTTATTTTTTTTCTCCCATTCCAGTTATTGCTTGTTAATTTATGTATTTAAATTGTTGTGCTGATCGGAAAAAAAGAGTATTTTATCAGTTATTTACTGAATTAACCAACTGAGATTCTACTGTTCAATAACTGTGGATTTTTCATACTCATTGTTCGTTGATTTGACCCCACTTTTAAATGAAACAACAGTTCCGCTCACCCTGGATCTGGATTCTCTTTGAATGACCAGGATTTGTTTTTGTAAAGTGAGTTGAATGGCTGTGATCAATAGCTGTAATTCTCGATGATCGGACAGAATATGAATTTACTCCGCTCTTGTCCAACTTAAATCTGATTTCATTTAATTTTTTAAAGTTTTACATTTATGATAGTTTTACCGACAGAAAAGGGAGGAAGATCCAATTAATTACAACCGTGCTGGATTTTTGTTGTTCTTCTCCTGTGGTACGATGCCTACATTGCTACAGGTATGAATCAATTCTCATCCTGAGCTTCTTGGTGCGATTCCTACTGTGCTGTTATGTGATAGAAAGTTTATGGGGTCCAACACAGGAGCTAGTGGGCTTTTACAGAAAGATGTCGGAAGAAGCACTAAATGTGAGAGCCATCAAGCGTCTTGCCAATGTTCTTACGCTTTTCCAGGTTAGCACTGCTTTAATCTTTTATTTATTTATTTATTTTTTCATCACAGGGATTTACATGCATACCACACAATTCTTATGTATTACACATCCAACACCTAAACATTTATAATACTAATCAAATTTTTAACGTCATTTCGAAAACACCACCATCATTATCTTTTTAAATGGGAAATACAGTTTTTCATGCATAGGTTTATGACACCAAGGTGTTATGACTGTGAATATAAAACTTCGGGTGTTAGATATGTAAATACATGAGAATTGTGTGGTATGTATGTAAATTTCCCGTTTTATAAATATGCTGAATGGGTTTTCATATTGGCAGTGTGTTGCAGCTAATAATGGAGCACGACAGAAGTTCGTTGATGGTAAGGCTCTTCCAAGTTCTTAGAATTGAGGCATTGTGCACATTTTTTGCCTGAAATTTAAAGCTGGTTTTTTTAAATTTTTCAAATTTAATTTGAAATGACAAATCAAATCAATATAGTGAAGGAGTTGAATGGTCTGATTCCAATGCCTTACATATGTGGTGTTTGTGTATTTGTGATTTCGCTCAAACGTTGCAAAAAAAAGAAAAAAGAAAAAAAAAAGAAAAAAAAGAGGAAGAAAAAAGAAAAAAAGATGAATGATTTTATAAATCGATGTATTTGTATGGTCTTTATTCCAATGTTCAACAAATTACCCCTAAAATGATGGCCTTTTTAGCCAGATTTTTTATCACTCACGATGATTGAATTTGTCATATTTTCATTCTTTGTTTTTTCTTTTTGCATGCAAATTTCTTCCAAAAGTTTCATCTCAATGAAATCATTTTTGTAATTACAAAAAATTATATCTTATTCGCATATTTATTCCCCTCGTAAATCTTGCTGCATTATCACCCATCTCGTGCTTTATGGAATAGTATGTTCATTTTGCTACAATTAATATGTTTTTATTTTGATGCTCCATATGCTGCAGCCTGCATTCCAAATTATTTGATCCCTTTGATAGAGTTCGAATGCCCAATTGAATTGTTTGATAACATTCGTGCTATTGCCCTCTCAGTCATTGGAATTTTATGCCAGGTAACATGCTTGTTAACCGCCCACTACTAAAATCTTGGTAGATTAACATGCATACCACTCGATTCATATGCATTTACATATCACCTAAACTTCAATTTTTACATATATATCACCTTACCTATTCAATAAAATTTGTATTTCACTTTTTTAAAAGTTAAAACTGTGGTGTTTTTGATGTGATATAAAAGATTTGGGTGGTATAAATGCAAAACAGTGAAGTTTAGCTGTTGGATATGTAAATAGATAGTAATTGAGTGGTTTGTTTGTAAATGCCCTTAAAATCTCATGCCTGACTAGTCTTGCCTTCTTTTTCTTAAAGGCTGGAGAACCTTTTGTCATTGATTGGGCTATTAAGAGCAATGTCGTTGAAGTTTGCCACACCATTTTGGCGACTGCTAGCGAGCTTAACAAAGTGGTAGTGTGATCTTTCCTTTCCTCGTTATTTTTCCTTTGTTTTTTCTTTTAATATCTTTATGAATTTGATGCTTTTGTTGTATTTAATAAGTGTCATCTTCTTTAATTACAATCTGAAAATTTTAGTGAAATTTCGATAATTGTGCGTGAACTGTTGAGATTATAACACAATCGTCTAGCAACCACCAAGAAAACAAATAACAAATAAATAAGCACAAAAATATATAAATTTAGGAGATTCATATATATCTACGATTACATGGAGATGAAATGATATCATTAAGCATAAAAGAATACATTGAAGATTATACAGTAATTTTTTGAAAGAGAAAAATTCTGGTGATACGAAGATGTAATCCTTATTGTGAGTACCTTATGGCAATATATTTTCTTCTGATACGAAGATGTCATCGTTATTGTGAGTATCCGGATGGCAATATATTTTCTTCTGCAAACACTAGGTGTTCTTTTTATTTTTCTCCTTCACAATCTATAGATTTGCCCGTGAAATTCAAAATTTCCCTTGTACTTGTCTCTGATAAAGAAGCCAAAAAATCCCTAGCCTCCGCTTGTTCTCGGTACTTGGAGGTGAACCCGTTAGAACCTAAACCTCACTGTTTGGTTTAGTAAATTACAACAATCAGAGATTATCTTTCTAGTGTGAAGTATATTTATCTAGTGTATAACCGATAACGGTGGACTGCGGGCTGCGGCTAGCGGAGATCAGTGGTAGGCGGTGGTAATGAGGTGACCAGCAATGGTACAAGGTGGTCAGTGGTGGCGAAAGGCTAAGCAGATTATTTTAAATTTGCTCAAATTAGGAAAATTTCAAATACATTGAAAGTGAATCAGATTGGAATGTTTTTTTATTCCTGCCAAACACTGGAAGTTTTTAGAAGTTTACATTTAATTTATTTTACCCTAGCCACCTAGTGTTACTTGCAACCAAACAACTTATAAAATGGAAGACCAAATTCTGCTACTGTGTTTGGCTTCCGATACCTTTGTTGTCAAATTCCTTGGCGTGGGTGGCTACGGTTATGGATGCTATTGGGCATCTCTTGCGATAATATGCATGGGAGAGAATGTCATAGTGCAGTTTGCTTCTAGAATCCACAAATTCTACCAATCAATTTGACTGATCCACATCATTGATCTTTCCTTCTTTGTCTAGTTTCATTGAACTCACCGAGATGGTTTTATTTTTTATTTTTATTTTGTGAATCATTAACTATAATAAAAATCTAAATTCAAATATTTAGATTGGCTCATTATTTTTTTTTTTGGTTGTTCCTATTTAAAGAAGTCTTTATTTTTTATCCAATGTGAAAACCTTAGATTACCTCCCCCTCTTTTATATCTAAACCTATATTTTTTCTCTAGAATTGGTCATGTTTGAAATCAATAGTCTCCTACTTATTTTTACATGGCATCACAATAACTTTATTGGCTTTTCCTCTTATTTTTTACCGTATTTTCTCTCTTTTGCCCCTTGTTATGACTTGTAAAAAAGGAAGCACCTACCCTGAGATATGGTCCAATCATGAATAATCCATTTTAATCAAAATCACTATCCCATAAGGGAGTTCTCTTTCTGTCACCAGCCATAACCTTATCTGAAAATTTTCATCCAAAGAGTCTTATCAATTTTGATGTTTGTGGGGAAGACAAAGAAGATTGTCTCATAGAAGGGCTTTAGTCATCAAGAGGGTTAAAGTTCCTTTCATGGAAAATATAAATAGCATGGTGATGTCATGTCTAATAAAATGAAAGATAAAGAAAATTAGAGAAAGTTTCATGCACTACAATAGCTCCAAGTAGCAAAAGAAATCTACTTCAATGTTGACAATATCTGGCCATATTTGAGATCAAGAGCACTCTCTAAGAATTCTGTCAAGATGATGACATTATTATGATATATTTCAAATGTTCATGAAACATATAAGTAGTAAGGTGATGTCATGACTAATAAAATGCATGATAAATAAAATTATAGAAAGTTCCATGTGCTACAATACTTCCCAGTAGCAAAAGAAATCTACTTCAATGTTGACAATATTTGGCCAAACTCGAGATCAAGAGCATTCTCTAAGACTTAAAGATATTCGAGTTAACCCAAACCACTATAGAAAAAGTAGATATTTTTATTGAAAGGCAATAGGCGGTTACAACCAATATCCTTGAAAGGGAAAATACAACACGACATTCAGGAATTTGAAATAATAGACACAATACAAACACTCAAACTAGGGTGGATCTTGGGCTGGTGGGGGTGATCGGTGAGGATTGGAGAGGCGGTAGCAAAGGGATAGGTGGGCCAGACTGCAAAGGAGTAACGTCTTGGGGCGGTTTTGGGCGGCGGGAACAATCATGAAAGTGTAGGGGAAGTACTGAAACAACAGCTAGGCTGCAGAGTTGCGGTTCAGGTGGTTGGAGCAGTGGTGGACAGCAGGTAAGGAGGGAGAAGATGGCTGGACCGAGGTTGGATGGCAGGGGATAGCTGTAAAAACAGTGGCTGCACTGTTTTCTGTGGACTCCAGCATGGGGACATTGAACTGGACGAAGGGGAATCAATGTAGGAAGGCACAGGGAAGATAAATACCACATCGGGAGCGAGATGCAACCGAAGCAACACTCGCTCTTGGATACAACCTTAAAAGGGAGAAACTAGGACAACGATGACTATCCTGAACATAAACACAAAAAACTCCCTTCCAAATCCTAATACAAAACATATATAGGAGAAGGCTAGAAAGGGCAAAAGGATTAAAGGAAATATGCTGAAAACTGGAAAGAAATCAGAAGAGGAGCTACTCGGTTCCATTCGGGGCCATTCATACGACATGTCTCCAACTTCCGGGTCACGTGAATATCGCATGATGGAAACGATCCTGCCTCAGCCTTGGACATCCCGCGGTAGTGCGGGAGGGACGCCCACGTTACTCAAGTATAATGTTGTTATGATATATTTTAAACCTTTACCTCATTATTGGCGACATTTAAATTTTTTTTGATTAAATATATTGAATCTACTCAAAAGACAATTGACAGTACATGGAGATGATGGAACAGGAAAATGTGTTCAGGTTCATACTTCGTCTAAATAAAAGCTCATATAAAGTCTATGGGATAATCTTAAGGATGAAGCCCCTATTCAATATTCATAAAACCTTTTTTGAGGTTCAATGAGAAGAAAGCAGGAGAACGGAAACACTGGAAGCACCTAACAATGCTCAAAGCTCCAATATTGACAACTTTGCCCTTGCAACTTGTGGAATTTCTATTCAAACATGGAGTTGATAGGTACAAGTTGATGACTAGACTATGGTGTTATCATTGGCACAATACCGGACACACTCGTGATAATTGATGAAAGATACATGAAAGATTCCTTGACTATAAATTGAGGGTCATGTAAAATTATGAAATGCATGGCAACACAACCATTATGAAGCTCCAACATCACCTCACAAAAGTTCATTTATCATTGAGCAAATTGAATTATTTAAAGGGCATTTACATACATAGCACTCAATTCTTATGGATTTACGTATCTCACACCAAAGCTTTCAGTTTTACATGAATAGCACCCAATTCTTTCATATCACATAAAAAAAAAAAACACTAATTACACTTTTTAATGGTCAAATCCACCTTTTCATGCATAGTAAAGTGTCATGCTTGTCAATATGAATGTGAGATACATAAATCCATACGAATTGAGTGCTGCATATTTAAATTTCCCATTATTTTAAAATTTCTTTAGCAACTACAAAAATCCTAAAAAGCTCTATAGATTATTGGATATGTTTTGGGTTTTGCTTATGTTTTGGAAAAGGTAACTCATTAAATAATTTCATTTTTACCTTTGGACAACCAGGATACTAGATTGTCAACTTTGATGCTTCAATTAATCTTGTGATTGGCGATGCTAGAATTTTTCATGAGTATAATTAAATTTTGCCTCAAAAAATTTATGATTCGAATTGTTAGTGGATTCTTTTTTATTGTTGATTGCATGACATTTATCTTATTTTAAAGGACATTGTCATTGAAATAGTGCTTCATGTTTTAAACTTCGATAGGAACCTTCTTTTTATTAGCAAAGTGATAATAAACCTTAATTGTGTGACATTTACGATCCCTGAAAGTATATGTGTCAATAAAGTTGTATAAGGATATATGCTCGTGTATCGATCCCACTGAGAACTTGTTAATTTTCAATGTCTGAACTTTCTCGCCTATCGATTAAAAGTATGGACTGAATTTTTTGAAATTTGGTGATTTTAAAAGGTACTAATCCTAATTTTTTGTAATAATAAAGTCTAAGGGAAAATAGTGAGAAAACAATGAGGTTTTCTTTCAAATGTAAAATTCTCCCATAATTGGATCTTTAGGAATGTAAGTTTAACTATGTGATAACAATGATGGGTGACATTCAAGAACAAAACTTCACCTTATTTTGTCTTGGGTTTTTGAGAAGGTTTTGAAATCATACATGTTTAATTTCCTAAACTATGTGATTATCTCATGATCTCATATTTTTCTATTATGATTTCACTAATTCAGAAGCAGTAACCCTATTCTTCTAAATCAATCTGAGTTGATTTAATTATTTCACTGGCATGCTTTCGCAAACTAGATCATAACATATTTTAATGTAACAATTGACCAAATTGAAACTCAATAAAATTTAGATGGTTAAATCATCACCACCATGCAATTTTAAATGAACCACAACATAACATTAAACACAGGATTCGTAAATTACCGATCCAAAGGAGAAAGAAGAATCTGCTCGCTACTTATGCTTTGATATGGCAAAATAAACATTTTATTCATAAAAGCAAATCAAAATACAAATAGTTATGAATGAAAAACCCTATGAAAATCATCAAGGATATGCTTCTCTGGAATACTTCTTCCTCCACAAGTTTCATTGGATTACAAGAGCAATTCACACAAAATTCTCTCACACTCTACTTACAAGAATTTCTCCCT